TAAGTGGGTAGAATTCACTTCTTAATAACAAACCAGGTTCAAGACCTCCAAAGACATAATGACAATTAATTGGCAAACCTCATCCCCTCTCACACATTTCTCCCCTGTTGACATTCAATCAGGGGCCAGAATTAAACTACTGAGAAAGATGAACACTTTATTATAATTGTTCTATGATTCATGACCTGTGTTCCAACACCTAGAAACATAGGGATGGTTAGTTTTTCTGTCTCATTCTATATTGTTCTGAGAAATTACAGGTATTTTCTTCTAAGAAAGGCATGATCAAGTATTCAAGTTTTGCTGAATCTAAGGTAATATCAGAATACTCTTAAACAACTTACGGCCTCAGATCCCAGTAGTTTAGAATTCTAGGGATGATGAAAATTTATAATCACTGTGAGAATGTTATCCTATCAAAACTTTGTAGAAACATCTATGCTTTTGCATAACAGCGTAAAAGACCTCTTCTGATGAGAGAGAGGGAGGGAGGGACGGAGGGAGGGAAGATGGGACAGAGAGAGAAAGAAAGAAGAAGGAAGGAAGGAAAGGAAGGAAGGAAGGGAAGGAGGGAGGGAGGGAATTAGGGAGTTGGGGTAACCAGGTAATTTAGGCCAACGGATTCAACTGTGCCTTAAGCTGGTACTACCCTCATTTATGTGAGTCAATCAAGTCCCCCTTTTTTGCTCAAGCTACTCTGAGTTGGGTTTTTATCACTTGCAACCAAGAGTCATGACTAACAAACCCATCCTACTGTTACCTCTTTTGCCTTGGCTCTGTATTCCACAGATTTAATCTTGGCGCTGATATAATTTTGTTTAAATATTTCTTCACCAGCTTGCTTGTGAACTTACAGAAGGCAGACCTTCGTGTCTTTGTATTCCCAGTGCCCGGCACATGGTAGACATTCAGCAAACGTCCGTAGGGTGGATCATGCACCCAATGTTGTCAACTCATTTGATATCAGACCCCCTTTCCCCCCGCAAAAAAAAAAAAAAAAAAAAAAAAGATGTAAAATGAGACTTAGCACAGACCTTACTAGTGGGGAGAAAGGTGAATGCCTCTAATGCTGTTAGAAAAAGGATACCTTTGGGGAAACTAAGTGACTAACAAGTAAAAATGGTTCTCTGAAAATAAGAGAGCTGTCCCTGCAAGCTGAACTATCAGGAGATGAAGAATGAGGTCTCCCTAAAATGCCCACCATGAGACTGCCAGATATGGGACTGCTGGATGACATTCTTTGGCTATGCCACTGAGTTTTATGAAAACATAACAGAGTAGATTAAAGACACGTACTTGTCATCTCAAGTAAGGAATACACACAGGAGGTGTCTTAGTCCGTTCTGGGTGCTGTAACAAAGTAACAAACTGGGCAATTTACAAGTAACAGAAACTTATTGTTCACAGTTTGAAGGCTGGGATGATCAAGGTGCCAGAAGATTGAGAGTCTAGTGAGGACCTGCTCTCTGCTTCAAAGATGACACCTTCTGGCTGTATCCTCACATGTGACAAAACGGGACAAAGAAGCTCCCTTGAGCCACTTCTGTAAGGGCACTGATCCCATTCACAAGGGCAGAGCCCTTGTGACCTAATCACCTCCCAGATGCCCCACTTCTGAATGCCATCAGAGATGAGGTTTCAACGTAAGAATTCTGGGGTGACACAATCAGACCACAGCAGGAGCAATGGGCTGATCCTGATCCCAATTAAATAGCTCATAACTTCTGCAGATAGCTCAGATTCCTCAAGACTGGAGGAAACAGTCCAACCTAAATAAGGGCTCCTGGAAATATGTGTTAATTCATGAAATACATACCAACAACTGTGGAGAGATGTTGGTGTGATCTGTTGTCTCACCTGAAATGGTTTAAAGATTTCTTCCCAGTAGGATGTGAAGAGCCATCTGTTCCTGGGGATTATGTTCTGGTTGATGTAGGGATTAGGTCCCCACTTGAGGTCAAAGTGGGGAAGGGCCCACTTAAGAGAACAGCTCTCTTGGTTGGCCTATATTGACTGGGCAGATTTTATATCAGAATTCCAAATATCTGCCTAGTGTGGTTATAGTTAAGAGAGCACAGATTGGAAGGCATCAACTACAGGCTCAAGTTTAATCACCCATTCAATGAATCATTGAAGGGAGCCAAGATTTTGTTTGAATTCCAGTCTCTAGAGACAAAATGGGGTCAATTCTTTCTGTACCCACCTTATTAGCTGCCAGACAAAACTTGGGTAATCATTTGCTCTAATTCCCTTATCTTCCCCACAAAGAAACTCATCAGTTAAAGCCTTGTTCTTACCTTTCTTGGTCACAGAACCCTCTGACGATTTGTTGAAAGCTATAGATCCTTCTCCACAGAAACATGCATTAAGGCATTTTTGCACATTATTTTTGAAAGAATCACAAAACTCTTGTGGTTCATTCTTAGGGAAGCCAAGTTAAAAAACAATTACCACCTCTGAACCAAAGGAATTTTTAAAAACATACACAGAGTAAAATAAACTTGTTCATATCATCATAAATTTATTTTCAGGCAATATGATAATATATTAACACTTGCCATACTCTGAACTTACAGAATAAGTACCACTTCATACTTCCTCATTAATGACTACCATTTTACATGAGCTTCTACCATCACAATGAGAGAACCGATTGCTACATGTTTGCTGGTAAATACATTCAGTAAGGCACTCAAATCCTAGACACGAACTAACCACAGAACGCTCTTCCCCGCTTTAATAAATTGAAACATGATCTCATTTCCTTCATTTTCAAAGCTTTTTATAGAAAGACATGCTTGTTTTGAACTTGTCTAAACATAGGTTTATATAAACTAATCCATTATCATGTATAGTTATAACCAAGGAAATGATTTCACATTGACGGTTTTTTAGGTAGGGATAAGCAAAAGCACTGCAGCAGTTTCTGAGGGACTGTTTTCCATGTAGTTCCCCATACTTAGTACAATGCCTGGAAGGCAGCAGGGACTAAACACAGTGAACAAATGGGCAAACCTTTAATTCCCAGGGATCGGCTACATATTGCCTTGACTGGTAGATCATTTCTCCAGAAGAAAGGAAGAAACCAAAAAAGCAAAAACAATCTTTTTAAACCTCACAGGATTTTCTTAGAAAAAAGTTTTAATTTATATATCTACTGCAATTCTCTTCGTAAAATATATTTAATAAAAAATCCAAAGCAAAAGTCCTGTTATTCATTTATTTCAAAAGACAAATCATTTCAGTACTTCTTCCTTGAAATGTCTGCAATTTCTTCCTCTGGCCTCAGAGAAGGGCATCGGCTCCATGCTTTACAATGTCAGGATAAAAATCCAGGAGGGAGAAATCTTGTTGTAATGGATAGCTGTTTTCATCTGACACAAAAAGGCTCTGAATCTTCAATACACAAGGTTCTGCACTGACTGCCAACAAGGAGTGGAACAGGTCTGCCACGACCATCCCATAGGTGATCTCTGAGGAAGGAACTGCAGAAGATGAAAGCAAAGAGCTCTCAAGATCGCTGCTAGCTTGACAGGAGCAAACGCACTGCGGGGTTTCATTGTTTCTCTTGGTTCCTCAAGTTTCAAATCCATTTTAAATTTCTCTTCACGGCCAGTAGCGGTGGCTCACACCTGTAATCCTAGCACTTTGGGAGGCAGACATGGCAGGATCACTTGAGGTCAGGAGTTCGACACATGCCTGGCCAACACAGTAAAACCCTGTCTCTACTAAAAATACAAAAATTAGCCGGCAGTGGTGGCACATGTCTGTAATCCCAGCTACTCAGGAGGCTGAGGCAGGACATTTGTTTGAACCCGGGAGGTAGAGGCTGCAGTGAGCCAAGATTGTGCCACTGCACTCCAGCCTGGGCAACAGAACAAGACTCTGTCTCTAAATAAATAAATAAGTAAACTACTCTTCCTACACCTTCTCTTTCTAGTTACAAGCTATTGAGGCACTCCAGAGTGACAGCATGTGATCCCGCTGCCACAAGAAACAGGCCCAGATAACACACCGTTCAGACGTCACGACAGTAGTTCTGGTTATGCTACAGTACATCAGAAGAGTGCTCTTATCCAGTTCACAGTTCTGATCAAGTTACTTATGCATACATTTATTTTTTATATAAAAGAATCTTGAATTGGTCACTTAAGAAATATTGAATCTCAATAATAAAAAATACTAAAATTATAGCTAAATGTGTTATTTTATTTTGCATTTGTCCTATACTCTTCCTCTCACTTTTTTAGGACATCTAATCAAGACACTTGGTAGGTTTGTTCAACACCAGAATGACAAAGCACCATCGACCATGCTCAGACCATATTAACCCCCTGACAATTATCACAGTCTTTCTTGGATGGGGGCTACAGAGTCCTGGAGGACCAATGACATATTTTGGGGGGTATGATAATTCTCTACAATAACTTTTAAATTTTGTATTTTCACTGTGATAAACTAAAAAATAACCAATATTAATAATAATCTGGATGGTCTGATGATCACTTTATAACCAATGACATTTTCACTTATGATCACAATCTATAATGCCAAGAAGTACAACTTTAATTGTCTCAAGAATGTACAAAACACTGAAGTATATGTGATATGAGAATAATGCTTCTCTAAGAGATAAAGACTAATTTACATTACGCAAAGAAGAAGAGAGAGGCCGGACACGGCAGCTCACGCCTGTAATCCCAGCACTTTGGGAGGCTGAGGCAGGCGGATCACCTGAGGTTGGGAGTTTGAGACCAGCCTGACTAACATGGAGAAACCACGTCTCTACTAAAAATACAAAATTAGCCAGGCATGGTGGTGCATGCCTGTAATCCCAGCTACTTGGGAAACTGAGGCAGGAGACTTGTTTGAACCCAGGAGGCAGAGGTTACAGTGAACCGAGACTGTGCCGTAGCACTCCAGCCTAGGCAACAAGAGTGAAACTCCGTCTCAAACAAACAAAAAAAAGAAGAGGTAACACTGAAAATATATAAGTAACATTAATAAAAGGAATGAAAATAGTCAAAAGAATAAAAATGAAATAAAGAAAATGGGGGAAAAAAGAAGAGAGGCTTCTAATTAGGATGTAGAAAGCTGGAAAGAGTGGGGCTCCCACCCTAACAGTTACTGGAAAAAGCTGAATAAATATAAAATCATCATTTTCTTGAATACACATGAGAACCAAGGTTGTAAAACAGCAAAAAAGACTGAAACATAAGGAGACAGGTGCCTCCAGGGAGATGGAACAGGAGCACAGGTTCCCTTGGGGCAGGCCTCGGGAAGAAGACAAGTCCTCCATATAGGCAGGAAAGAAGAATGTGATTTTTATTAATAAATTAATTGCAAAAAGCCAATGAATTGCCAGTGTCACCAACATAAGGAACGTCTGCATCCTCACAGGCTCCTCCACATGGTAAGTCTCACCTCCACCAGGTGCTCACAAGACTGGGGGCAGGGCAAGACGTCAAAGAAGGCTTCCAACTACAAAACACAAAGCACTATCTGGCCTCCCTTTTAAGGAACAAAAGCCTTCAACTGCTGGAAGAAGGACACCAAATCCTGTTGCCCCAGGGTACAGGTGAGGAACCAGCACAGATGCAGGAAAGAAAAAAGAAAAAAAAAAATCCCTCCATCCTGAGGGAGGACTGAAAAACCAGCCTGGGTCAAGACCATTAGTGGTCCCCTACTGCTGGGGCAGGGCCAGGACCACACAAGACCCACCAAAGACACAAGATAGAGCTCGGCTGCCACTGGTACAGCCACATAAGGGACAGGGCTACCAAGAAAGCACCATATGCAAGATCCTGTATAAGACTGGGGCTGGACCAGAATCAAAGAGGAACAATCGTGCTCCTGCCCACCAGGTTAGGATGCACCAAGTAACAACCAACAAAAGTTTGTGCAACTTGGGGAGGTGCAAGAACACGGAGAGAAACTTTCTCTGAGGCCCAAGTGCAGCGTGGAGGGCTAAGTTGATGGTGGAGCAGGAATACTGGGGAACCACCTCCCACCATAAGCACAAGATAATTCGAAACCAGTGGTGACCTGAAGGTAACCAGAGAAACAACAAAACCTGAATCCAACTCAACATATGACAAGACTGACCATCCTGCTCACCCCTCACCTCCAGTAAAGGACCAGAAGAGGCATGCCTATTTCCAGGTACAAATACTATTTACCTCAGTTTATATTGTTCTACTTAATATATGCAATGTTCAGCATTCAACCAAAAATTACTAGACACCCCCAACTAAAAAAGAACACAAAAAACAATCTGCTATTAAAAGATAAAGCAATCACAGAACCAGATTAGCTCATCAGCTTAGAGGATCTGAGGCTAATGAGAACAGGAATGGAGTTTGAATACCTGACAGATATATTGTCTTTGCTTTATTCTTAGCCACTGATGACTAAGACATCACGATTGAAGATCTTGCAAATCCATGCCACTGACAGTGGACTATCTTCATATATATTGTGTCACACACTCACTGACTTCACTCTTACAAAACCAGAGTTAAGTAAAATAGTTTTTGTTTACCAACTGGAAATGTAGGTTAAGAAGAAATTAGGTGCCTCCCACCATTCATGTACTAACAGGTGTAAAGCAAGTCAACCTTCTAACTTACATAGGCTTATATTTCACTTAAGCTAAATTATCCTTCTGCTTTTATATGGACAGAAAAGCTCTTAATTTAAAGTACAGTGCTCTTTCTGTTCCGAAATACCATTTATACTCCTGAGTATAACAACCGCTTGATGGCACACTGATATATTACCTATCACTCTGTTGAGGCAGTCTGCAGAAATGTTGAGAAGAATCTTCTCTATCAGCTTTGATTCTACACGGATGCAAACATCATGTCTTCCATCAACTACAGTCATTAAGGCTGGCCTACAAAAGAGTAAACAACACACAACCTTCAAAAAGATTTTCAAATAAAAGAAATGCTTAAATGAAAAATAATTCCAAAAAGCACTTGATTTTTATGCAGGATTAATTTTAATTCCTAAAACAACTCTAGGATGTTCTGTGACACCCTAGAAACAAAAAAAGGTTTTTTTTCCCCCAAGCGCTTCAAATGATAAATTAATACATTTTATCTATTCTATATCCATTTTTAAATTTCAGATACTAATATAAAATATATTAAACTGTTTTATAAATTATTTTTAGAAATGAAATTAAAAATAATAATCACATATTTCACAATCACAATTTCAATTTTTTTCTTTCAACTGAATTCTTCCCTATCAGAAATAAACTGTTTTGCATATCAATAAACAGGGAACTGGATTAACAATTTTCAGTGCATCCTACATCTTAATGCTATGTGGCTGACAAAAAGAATGAAGAATATTTACAAGTGCTATTAGGGAAGGAGCACCAGGATAGACTCTAAGGAACAACAATATGAACAATATTCTTCTGTCCACAAGCTTCTAAAGAAAGGGATACACATGTGCTGGGATGAACATAACAAATCACTGGAAGGACATACAAAAAACCTTCTCACCAGCATGGAAGCAGCACTGGTGGGAGAGGGTTGGATGGTGAAGGAGACTTTTACTCTCTGTTTTGTAACCTCCTATGTAGTGTGCATTTTAACCATGGCCTGTGGTACCTATTTTACAACTACGTTAATTTTTTAAAAATAAATTGAGAATAGAATTCAGAAACAGGCTCATTAGTGGGAGAATTTAATGTAACAGAGCTAAAACATAACTACTGATTTTCCCCCTAAAAACCCACATCCCCCTTTATTCACATGATGACTCTGTGTTCCTTCCTCTTTTCACTCTACACTCTTTCCTCAGCCTCTGTCCCTCCATTATTTATTTCAGCAAATACAAACTGAGCATCTATCATGGACTGTGGTAAGTGCTGGGTACCCACTAGTGAACAAGACAAATCTGGTTCCTTCACTCAGGAACATAAAACCGTAGTGGGATAGGAAGAAATTAAGCAAGCGTGGTGACTCATGCCTGTAATCCCAGTGCTTTGGGATGCCAAGGTGAGGAGGACTGCTTGAGGCCAGGAGTTTGAGACCAGCCTGGGCAACACAAGACCTCACCTCTACAAAAAGAAAAAAAAAAAGAAAATAAGCTTTTCAACAGTGGTGCCAAGACGACTAAACAGAGATGGAATAGGCTTTTCAAAAATTCATGCTGCGACAACTAGACACCCACATGCAAAAGAATAAAATTAGACCCCTTCCTTATCCTATACACAAAATTTAACTCAAAGTAGATAATAAACCTAAATATAAGAGCTAAAACTACTAAACTCTTAGAAGAAAATATGGGAGCAAATCTCCATAACCCTGGCTTAGAAATGACACCTTTCTCAGATATGACCCAAAAGCACATGCAACAAAAAGAAAAACAGAATAAGAAGTACTGGCAAGGATATGGGGAAATTACAACCTCAGATTGCTGGTGAGAATGTAAAATCATGCAGCAATTTTGAAGAACAGTCTGGCAGTTCCTCAAAAGGTTAAACAGACAGTTACCATATGACCCAGCAATTCACCACTCCTAGATATATACCCAAGAGAAATGAACACACATATCCACGCAAAAACTTGTACACAAATGTTCACAGCAGCATCATTCATAATAGCCAAAGAGTAGGAACAATCCAATTGTCCATCAACTGATGAACGGATAAACAAAATGTGGTATATGCATACAATGCAATATTATTTTGCAATAAAAAGGAATGAAGTACTGATACATGCTACAACATGGATGGACCTTGAAAACATCATGCTAAATGAAGCCAGTCACAAAAGATCACATATTATATAATATTTATATAAAATATCTAGAACAGGCAAATCTATAGAGACAGAAAGCAGATTCGTAGTTGCCATGGGTTGAGGGGCATGGGGAGGAGAGTGACTGCTAATGAGTATAAGGCTTTGTATAGGGCTGGGTGATGAAAATGTCCTAACTGGTTGTGGTGATAGTTACACAGCCCTGGGAATATACTAAAGCCATTGAACTGTACATTTCAGAAGATTAATTTGCTGTATATGAATTTTACTTCAGTAAAAATGTTTTTTTAGAAAAGACAGTATGCAACTACAAATTACAATAAGCACACCCAGGCTACTATAACAGAAAATAAAGAAGGGTGGTTAGGAAAGGCCTCTCTGATAAAGCAGCATTTAATCTAAGACATAAAGAAACCAGCCTTGTGGAGTCAGACTGAGGGAAGAAATTCGAGGACATCCTAAGGAGAAAAATCAAAATGTCTGAAGAACTGAAAGAAGGCCACGTGGCTAGAGTGCTGGATGACAGGGGAGTGGCAGCAGATGAGACTGCAGAGGCAACAAGCATAAGGAGACAACTGATGGGTGAAGCAAGGGGTAATCACGCTGCTAACAGGTGGAGAATAAAGGGGAGGAGGCAAGGCCAGCAGGAGCTCCACCAAGAGACTGCTGGTGTGCTGGTTTGTGCAACAGGTAGTAGTGACTTAGATGAGGCCTGAGTGATCCCAGACGAGCAGGCACTGACTTTCCATTTTGGTTTCACAGTAACTGAGGTTCAGCTAGGGGAAGGTAAACAGGGATGCCACACGCCCGCAGTGTGTGGGATATGGTACATAATGAGAAACTGTCCTGCGTAAAATGTCAACAACGCCCCTGCTGAGATACACTGGACTAAGATGTTAGCAGTGGAGATGGAAAAAAGTGGATGAATTTGTGATGTAGTTCTGAATGAAAATTCCTAGGACTTGCTAATAGATTAGATAGGGGAGGTAGGGAAGAGAAAATGATTCAACGATTGTGCCCAGGTTTCCAGCTTAAATAATTGGGTAGATAGTGTGTCATTTTCCAGAAAGTATAAAAATGAAGAGAACTAGATTTGAGTATGGTTAGGAAAAACAACAGTCTATTGCGGGTATGTTTAAATGTGAGATGGACGTCAAGCAAAGGATTTGATACTAACTACTGGAGCCTGGAGGAGAAAATCAGGGTGAAGATGTAAGTACAAATATGAAAACAGCTATGATCATCCAGGCAGAATGTACAGAAAGAATAAGAGGAAGGACACAGACGAGAGCTCAAGATTAACCCCAGCATTTAAAGAGGGGGTAGAAGAGGCTGAGAAGGAAGGGCCTGAGAGACAGGTTAGAAAGCCAGGAGGAGGCTATTTCAAGAAGGAGGAAGTAGCCTGACATGCCGAATATAACTGAGAGCAGTTAGAGCGAGGAAAGAAGTATCCATGCCTCAGGCAACATCAAAAGTGTAACTTTGACAAAAGCAGCTTCTGCAGCATGGTGGGAGTAGAATGGAATAACTGGAGTGAAACTGAAGACATAATGGGGAGAGAGAATATATTTACAACTCTTTAACAAAGTTTGGCTGGGTATAAAACAGAATAGAGAAACGAAGGGATAAGAGGGAGATGTAACGTTAGTGGATGATTTTGTTTGTTTTTTTAATACGAGAAATACAGGAGTGTGTTTATAGGCTGGTAAGAATAATTCATTAGGAGAGGTAATAACTGAAGATTAAGAAGGAAAAACAAAACAGAGTGCCGAAACCAAGGAAGAGTTCAATCACCACATATAACCTCATAAGCCTAGCCCAGAATTCTCTTGCAAATTGCATTTCTGTACATCTAACCACTTTCCAACTTGCTACCTCTCAGGAACTCAAGCTCAATACGATCAACATTTTCCCAAGGTTACTTGTTTTAATAAATAATCTTATTGTTCACCCAACTGTCAATGATGTGTAATGTACCTGTGCTCTCTTTACCTACCAATCACTACATCTTGCAAACTATTTTCCAACCATTCTCAAATCTGTCCACTTCTTTTTATTCCCACCACCTCCTCTCTAGTCAAGCCACCATCATCTCTCCTCCAAAATAAGGCAACAGCCTCTTACCTCTTCTCTGCACTAGCTTCATTCTAATCCACTCTCCAATGTGCAGCTAAACTCACTTCTGATGAACAGAATTTGGTGGAAGTAATGCCACATGATTTCTGAGTCTAGGTCACAAAAAGGCTGGCTTCTACCTGAACTCTCTTTCTTGCCTTTCCTGCTCTGGGGAAATAAGCTGCCACTTTGTGAGAACATTCAGGAAGCCTGTGGAGACCCAAGTGAAGAGGAACTCAACTTGCCAGCCATATGAATGAGCCACTTTGGAAATGAATCCTCCAACTCCAGTCAAGCCTTCAGATGACTGCAGCCCCGGCCTGCACCTTGGCTACAACCTCTTGAGAGACCCAAACGTTTCCTAGTGCTGCCTAAATAGGAGCCTTAATTGTGGTTTGACCTGCTGGGTTTTCTGGCTTCTAGTACAGAAAAATAAATGTATTTCTTGTATTCCAAAACTGTAAATCTGAATATTCTGTAGAAACATTGTTAAAAATGGTATTTGAGTTTTATGATATCTTGAAGAGCAGGAATTATGCTATCTACATGTAAATTTAATAAATGTCTGTGGCCTCGTATGAGACTCCAACGCAATATCTAATGTTGCTTCCATTGGAAAATCAGCTCCAAGTTACAACCAATGTAAAATATGACCAACCTACTCACAGTTTGGGACTATTATGTCACATAAATGTTCGTTAAATGTTCTTTTTTTTTTTTTTTTTTTTTGAGACGGAGTGTCGCTCTGTTGCCCAGGCTGGAGTGCAGTGGTGTGATCGTGGCTCATGGCAAGCTCCACCTCCTAGGTTCATGCCATTCTCCTGCCTCAGCCTCTTGAGTAGCTGGGACTACAGGTGCCCACCACCAAACCCGGCTAAATTTTTTGTATTTTTAGTAGAGACAGGGTTTCACCGTATTAGCCAGGATGGTCTCGATCTCCTGACCTCGTGATTCGGTTGCCTTGGCCTCCCAGAGTGCTGGGATTACAGGTGTGAGCCACCGCGCCCAGCCGATTAAGTGTTTCTTAAACGGACTACCAAGCTTCTTGGGCACAAAAAGTCTACTTAGATCAACCAGTATAACATCCATAGTACATATGTGATATGTGAACATACGTGGATTCCTAATAAATATTTGACTGAGTCTTAATAAATAATCATTGAGAGTTTTCTCTTACTCAGTTTGCTGATTGATTCATGTAGATGATTTTGGAGTCACATACTTGATACCTTGAAGGCAGTTTGTTAATTTCAATATTTTCTTTTCAAGGAAACCACATAATCTGGACTAAACAATTTAAAGGCTTTTAGGCTGGGCGTGGTGGCTCATGCCTGTAATTCCAGCACTTTGGGAGGGCAAGGCAGGTGGATTACCTGAGGTCGGGAGTTCAAGACCAGCCTGACCAACATGGAGAAACCCTGTCTCTATAAAAATACAAAATTAGCTGGGTGTGGTGGCACATGCCTGTAATCCCAGCTACTCGGGAGGCTGAGACAGAAGAACCTGGCAGACAGAAGTTGCAGTGAGCTGAGATCATACCACTGCACTCCAGCCTGGGCAACAACAGCAAAACTCTGTTTCAAAAAAAAAAATTAAAAAATTTAAAAAAGGCTTTTAAATAAATAAAAAATAATAATTATTGCCTTAACATGACCATTCAACATTCCAGCAAGACAACAAACTAGCACTACATCTTTAATGTGGTATAGTTTAGGAAGAGATCTTACATACCTCATACTAGTTATGCCATAATCAGGTGATACTGATCTGTGAAGTCCTTCTCTTGAACAGTCATTTTGTAAACTAAAGAATCAAAGGCCCTTCTCCCCATAAGGAATAGTACTGAGCAACATTTTTGTCTAATAAATGCTTATATTGAATAGACATATTTGGAATGATATAAATAAGTCACCTATATGTACTTTTTAGGGGCCTTAACTATCAATAAATCAATGTTGTTTGTAACATCCCATGTATTTTTTGTTTTGATTTTGAGACAGGGTCTCACTCCGTTGCCCAAGCTGGAGTGCAGTGGTGCAAACATAGCTCACTGTAACAATCAATCTCCTGGGCTCAAACAGTCCTCCTACCTCAGCCTCCCAAGTAGCTGAGACTACAGGCCTATGTCACCATGCCCTTTTTTTGTGTGTGTGGTAGAGATGGGGTTTCCCTATGTTTCCCAGGCTGGTCTTGAACCCCTGGGCTCAAGCAATCCATCCACCATGGCCTCCCAAAGTGCTGGGATTACAGGTGTGAGCCACCACACCCAGCCTACCGTGCATCCTAATTCAATCTTCTTTTCCACAAAAGCAACTGTCACAGTAATAGCAAAATTCATTCACTTATTTATAACAAACATAATATCTGTAAAGAGAAATAAGGTTTACAAATTAAGCTTCTATAACTTTTCTTGAAGTATGCCATGATAACATGTGGAATATATCTGCATTTAGTTTTTAGATACTGCAATATTTAGAAATAATTAGAAGGAGCATAAAACACTGAGTGCTATTTTGTAAACACATGTAATTTATATGGTAAAAAGAAAAATACCTGAGCTTTTGACTACTTATTATTCGAAAAACAATGTGTTTTTCGCTGAGTTGGTTAGCAGTTGTACCATACAACATTTATTTGCTAGCTTCAATTTCTAAGGTAAAGGTGGGAAAATAGGTTAAATGTCTTACTAGTTTCCACAACAACTCAGAGGTGAGATCATATGGTACTTTTAGCCTTTAAATTCTAATTATATGTTAAGGTAGGAAAATGAGTTATTTATGAGCCATTTAGATTTTGGTTAAAAAGTAAACCAAGGAAAATGTTTCTTTGGTACAGCTGTTTGAAGACAATAAAATCTCCCAATTACTGCTTTAAGAAATTCCTGTAATGATTCCTGGGAAATTTTTGCTTCCATAAATAGCTATCTATCACTCAGGGAAAATTTTATTCTCTTCGACTAGCTCTAGTTAATTCTTTTTAGAAAGTAAGGGTTTACAGACTAATTTTTCCAGATCTATAATAATTATTTTCCATCAAATTGGCTTGCTTAGTTGCCTTACCTATAGTGTATTTTCTTCATAATAAATGGCAAGCAGCTAAAACACTGTTTATAGATCCTGTTCTCATCTGTTTCTAGTTCCAATCCACATTTTGCGCAGCCAGTATATACGATGTTGGGAAGAGAAGAGAAAATACTCTTCAGAGAACTGTGAGCATTTAGAGCTATCTTCTCAGTTGCTGTAATAGGAAATGCCAGCTCTGAAATCTGGGCTTTAATTAGAATCACTCCTATAAAGGACAAACAGATATTATAAATTATTTGGCCAAAATTTTAACTTTAATTTACAAACATGGCTAATTTTATAGTTGATTTACAGTCACTTGTAGTAAAAGGATACACGGAGGTCTTGTTCTTGGTCTTCTTTACTATTTTCCTAGAATCTAAAGGCAGGGGGGTCTGGCTGCACCTGAGAGCAGGTTTACTTGGCTAATTTGGCTGAACATGTGGTGTTTCCTTCCTCCCCTGATTCCTCTGGAATCAGGCAACGTATGTTCAATACCTCCTTTAGAAGAAATCCCTTCGAATACTTAAAACTAGCTAACATGCCCTCTCTCCTTGCCCTGTCTTCTTTTTAATTGATCGTAGTGAAAAGCCAAATAGGAGGTGATCTTTTCTTCTTCTGTCTACCCAAAAATATCAATAGCCTGTCCTCTTTTAAACTTTTTTCCAACTTCTCGCTCACCATTATCATCTATATACTCTGGGTGTGGGTTATAAAAAGTTCTCATTTATTAATCGTTTCTCAGGTGGCTCATGAGAAACCTCAAGCATATTCATAATTCACTGCTAATGGCTCATCCATTCACCAGTAAACAAATACTGAACATCTACTGTCCCCCAGACATTATTTTTTCCTAATTTACTTTTGTCTTACTGTGTACCGGTGAGGTCGTTTTTCTGAGCATTCTTCTCCCTTTCTCCATAGTCAATTTAAAGGCTTCTTTAAGCCTTAAGCCTTCAAATTTGTTGTTCATCCTCTCAGAAGTAAGAACACTCCAGGTCAAGAACTAATCACTCTGGTGTCCTACTGTTTTCTGGTTATCTCTTTCAGAGTTCAGTTAATGATGAGTCTTCCGTTCTTAACTTCATTTGCTTTAGTCTTTCAATGCCCAAAGATGGTTTCATCATCTCTTCCAATTGTATCACATATCCCTACATGAGTTGGCAGGAGTGCACAGCGATCAAATATGTAACAAACTGTAGAAGATTCAATACCACATTATTCCAAAGACATGTTAAATTACTACAACATTTTGTTTTGTTTTGTTTTGAGACAGTCTCACTCTGTCGTCCAGGCTAAAGTGCAGTGGTGCAATCTTGGCTCACTGCAGTCTCAACCACCCTGGGCACAAGCAATTCTCCCACCTCAGCTTCCTGAGTAGCTGGGACTACAGGCACACACCACCACAACTGGCTAATTTTTGTATTTTTTGTGGAGATGGGGATTTGCCATGTTGCCCCCGGCTGGTCTCCAACTCCTGGGCTCAAGTGATCCACTCCTCTTGGCCTCCCAGAGTGCTGGGATTACAGGCTTGAGCCAATGTGTCTGGCCTAAAAAATCATGTAAAAAAAAATTTCAATTTTTATTTTAGATTCACGGAGTAGATGTGCAGGTTTGTTACATGGGCATATCGTCACCCAAGTAGAGTCTTTTGTAGTAAGCAGAGTACCCAACAGTTAGTTTTTCAACCCTTACTCTCCTCCCTCCACTCAAAAAGTGTTTTTTTTGGTTTTTTTTTGGTTTTTTTTGAGACAGAGTCTTGCTCTGTCGCCCAGTCTGGAGCGCACTGGCACAATCTCGGCTCACTGCAAGCTCCGCCTCCTGTGTTCAAGCGATTTTCCTGCCTCAGTCTCCCCAGTAGCTGGGACTACAGGCACCCACCATCATGCCTGGCTAATTTTTGTATTTTTAGTAGAGGCAGGGTTTCACCATGTTGGCCAGGCTGGTCTCAAACTCCTGACCTCAAATTATCCACCCACCTCGGCCTCCCAAAGTGCTGGAATTATAGGTATGAGCCACCCTGCCCAGCCTAAAAAATTCTTAATAATTCAATAATTTTAAAAGAATATTCACATAATCCTATCATTTTGTAAATTTATACGCCTCTTGAAAAGAATTAAAAGGTCATGCTGAATGTGGACTTTGCTTTCAAGGGGATCACTGCTGCTGAGGACTGAAATTCTGCTGGCAGTAAGATGAGGTACTGGGTAAGCATCTTCATTTCTTTACAAGGACTCAGTCCTAGCCTCATCTCCCTCTGGCTTTTGTTGTGCAAGCAGAGCCTTCTAGGAAATGCTCCGATGCTGATCTCTCTTTCTCCTTTTATTTAACTATAAAATAGGTTAGGGAAAAGTTGCTTGTGTTTTCATATTCTCTCTCTATTTTTGTCTTAAAAACACATACACTATGACAAAAACTATGAGTTCAGCCCTCATAGCTGAACATAAAGAGAATGAAAAAGGCTAAAAGGGCCTCTGTGAACAAAACCTCTGAAGGACTGATTTGAATGGCACAGTTTTGGCATGGCTTCCCAATGAGGAGCACACCTCCAGGATTTCAAAGAACATGCACAATTCCTGACTGCATCCTCAAACAAGTGGGGCTATATCCTCGGAATCGTTCATCATCAGCGCGGTGGCCACCTATTTTGTTGTTGTCCATGATGTTATTTATTTTTATTTTTAAACCTAATTCTAGGACTTCAATCCCAGCAGATAACTGTTTTGTGTAAGCAGTAAGTAACAGAGTTGGCTTCTCCATGGCACCAAACTAAATGTCTCTGCAAAGTAATGTAACCCTTCAACTGTGTCTGGCATTCCTTCCTGTGGTGACCACCTCTGTATGTCTGTAGAGTTTGAGAAGCAGAGCACTGGAGGGGCACATGAATATAAAACTGGCTTAGGAACTTGCATGATGCTATAACATTACCAAGATTTTACCAGTTAGTATAAATCTAGAGTCTTTTATGGCCATAAAGCAACTTCCATTTTTGAAAATGGTATGAAAATTTTATAGTATAAAAGCTTATAAATTTTCTATCATCTGTGTTTATCTTCCAGAAATATTATTAATTTAAAGTATCTGCTGGTATTAGCAAATGTTTCAGTGTAGAACTAGGAATAAGAAGTTCTTCTCTGAGAATGAAATCTCTGTATCCAATTAAAAGTTGGGTTTTTTGAGAGGTGTTGTCCTTTTTGCTTTCTGCCTGTATTCTCCTTAGCATAGTTTTATGATATAACAATGCTAACCTTCAATCGTATATTGGAAAACATATTTACACACATATGTGAATTAACCCAACTAGTTAAAATTTTAATCTGGCATTTGGCCAACATAAAGTAAGGAACTGAATTTATGGTCCCACCTTGTCATATAATAAAAAGTAGGTATTTGTTCTTTGTCCCTGGTTCCTGGCACATAGTTTCTAAAGCTACTAGAATCTAGTTCAGATATTTGCAAATATTTATATTTCACTTTTATGTAGAATTATACATTTTTACCACAAGTGGTAGCCTTTTTGCTTATATTAAAGCTAGCAATGGGCTGGGTGTGGTGGCTCATGCCTGTAATCCCAGCACTTTGGGAGGCCAAGGCAAGAAGATCACTTGAGTCCAGGAGTTTGAGACCAGACTGGGCAACATATGGAGACTCTGTCTCTACCTAAATAAATAAATAAATAAATAGTTGGGTGTGGTGGCGGGCACTGATGGTATGCACTAGCCTTCCCTTCCCTCCTCAGCTACTCAAAAGGCTGAGGTGGGAGAATCACTTAAACCTGGGAGGTGGAGGCTGCAGTGAGCTGTGTTCACACCACTGTATTCCAGCCTGGGTAACAGAGCAAGACCCTGTTTCAAAAGAAATAAAAATAGCAGAATTTATGTATATAAAGATCTTACCTGAACACTTATCCTCTAGGTGGGTTGCTAAGTCTGATATCTTCACAAAGGAGGGTGTACTTTTTTGAAATTTTGCTTTAAATGTAAGTGCCCTTATATCATCATCAAACAAGCACTCACAGGATGACCAAGGCGTTGTATGCAACTCTAGGTTTTCTAGTGTGTAATTGCGCTGAACAAAAAGATATTTAAATTCCCAAATATAACCTTAAACAAAAACAGTAAAAACAAAAGTCAGCAAAAAGGGAAAAAAAAAAAAAAAAAAAAATCTAGGCTTAGTATCAGATGAAATAGATTGATCTGATTAAGTCAGCTGAATACTAATCTTTTATCACTAAAGAGTTTGGGTAAAAAGAGATAAAATATGAATGGTGCATTAAGACAAGAGAAGCATGCTAGAGATTATTATCATTATTATTGTTATTATTATTTTTTCCGAGACAGAGTCTCACTCTGTTGCCCAGGCTGGAGAGCAGTGGTGCGATCCTGGCTCACTGAAACCTCCCGGGTTCATCAATTTTCTCCTCCCTCAGTGCTCCTGAGTAGCATGGGGATTATAGGCATTGTGGCACCGACTCCCGGGCTATTTTTGTATTTTTGGTAGAGATAGCGTTTCCCATCGTTTAGGTCAGGGCTGCGGCTCTCAAACTCCTGACCTCATGATCCACCCACTCGGCCCCAAGTGGCTGGATACCAGGGCATGAGCCCTCCAATGTCGGGCCCGCTTAGAGATTAATTTTTAATAAATGATGTGTCTAAAGATTCCTTCTCCCCTCGGGCAGGCGCAGTGCTCACGGCCTGTAGAACCCCGCAGCGCGTTGGGAGGCCAAGCGCGGGCAGATTCACAAGGTCAGAGAGATTGAGCCACAGGTGAAAGACCGGCCCCCGTCTGATTACTGAAACAATACAAAAAAATTTGCCAGGCGCGGTGTTGGGCGCCTGATCAGTCCGAAGCTACTCAGAGGCTGAGGCAGGAGAATGGCGTGACCCGGAGGGCGAAGCTGGCAGTGAGCGGAGGATCTGCGCCACTGCACTCCCGAGCCTAGGGGACCAGAGGCGAGAATCTGTGCTCAAAAAAAAAAAAAAAAAAAGATTCCTTGCCCTCCTGAATGGTCATCATTTATCATAACCAACTGCTTTACAGAGTAGACAATTCTCATGTATCTATCCATAGGCAAAGTTTTGTTTTGTTTTGTTTAAAGAAAGTCCTTTCTTTAATGAAATGAACCCAAGTCTAATATTTCACTCATATTTCAGTACCTTAGTTACCTTAGTTAACTTTTCTAGAACAAAAAGCATTTAGACACAATAGCACTTATTTTTAACTCTCAATAACAATTCTAATTCTTAAAGCCACAGTAACACAGACCTTGCCCAATAATCATATTCTGTATTAGTAAATTCAACTTCAAAACTATAATAAAACAAAAGAGGGGTTCTTAGCACTAATGTTTCTGATCACATCAGCTGTCGTTTGAGTTTCCCACTTACTTCAGGCCATACATCTAATTTACTACACCTATTCATCTCCTTAGTTTCTTTCACTAGAGATTTGTTTTTGTTTTTGGTTTTTTTTGGTGGAAAATCATCAAACATGTCAGTAAATCTGTAAAGACAGAGCATCATTAGCTAGAACTAAAGTATATATTCCAAGTTACTGCTTAAAACCAATCACTAAAATAGCTTTCTTGTCTTATTACAAAATACCTGCTTAAAAAAGTAAGCTAAGAGAAGCCAAGTAAATAAACATATAGCAGTCATAATCTCAACACCCTAAATAAACAGTTAACGTTTTAGCAGACAACCAGTTGTTTGGGATTTTATTTACTGGGATTGACTTAATAAGTCAAATATAGTTTTATATGTATGTATTATTCTACATTGCTTTTAAATATTACATAATATGCCATTGTCCAAATACACCAAAATCTTAAAAATTATTACAGCAACCCTCTATTTTGAGGGACTCTGGTTGTTTTGTTTTTATTTTTCACTATTATACATGACACCATGATAAACCCATTTTCAGCTATATCTTTACACATAGTTATGATAAATTCCTAGAGCTATAATTATTGGGCTAAAAGTACCCCCAATTTGTTCATATTAATTGTCAGTTATCCTCAAGAAAGGTTCTGCCAGTTTGCATTTCCTATAGCTGATGACAGTAGCTGTTTCCCCATATCTCCTCTATCAATTTCTTAAAAGAAAAATCATCTATCATCATTACTTTGTGTTTTCAATTACTTGTCAGAACAATTTTTCCATGTATTTATTGGCCATGTTTACTTCTTCTTTGGGGACTTGCCTATTCATATCCTTTCCCCATTTATCTCTATAGATATGTGTCTTTTGCTTACTGCATTATTTTCTGACAATGTAATTTTTTTTCTGTTTTTTTCGTTGCCTTTCAATTTTGTATATGGTGGTTTTTATGTATAATAGTTTTTGTTGCTGGATTTTATTTACCCTACCAACTTTTGCATTACAAATAATTTTGCCCATATTTTCTTCTACTATTCATTGTTTCATTATTTTTATATTTGAATCTCTAATGTACCTGAAATGTATATTGGCACAAACATAAAGTATAAATTTAATTCTATTTTTTCTCAAATTGTTAGCTAGATTTTCCAAACATTAACTATTCTTTTATTTTAAAAAGCAAAAGGTTTTAATTTTATTTTTAATTATAAAATAAAATATATTCATTGTAAAATATTTAAACAGTAAAGACAAGGGAGGTAACAGGTGAAACAAGACTGACCGTGTTTTATTTAATAAGCTGGCTAATAGGTACTTAAGTTCATTATGCTGGCCGAGCGCGGTGGCTGGCTCATGCCTATAATCCCAGCACTTTGGGAGGCTGAGGCGGGTGAATCACCTGAGGTCAGGAGTTCAAGACCAGCCTGGCCAACATGGTGAAACCTCGTCTCTACTGAAAATACAAAAATAAGCCAGGCGTGGTGGCACATGCCTGTAATTCCAGCTACTTGGGAGGCTGAGGCAGGAGAATCACTTGAACCCAGGAGGCGGAGGTTGCAGTGAGCAGAGATCGCGCCACTACACTCCAGCCTGGGTGACAAGAATGAAACTCTGTCTCAGAAAAAAAAAAAAAATTCATTATGCTTAGTATTCTCTCTACTTTTGTATATGCTTGAAGGCCTTTGTAATAAAAGCTTTAAAAGTAAATGCAGATGCTCACACATAAAATTCAAACTAAAGGTATAAAGAACAAATTAAAGCACACATAATACTACCATACAGAAATAACCACAGCTAGCATTTTGGTATACATACATATTTCCAGATTTTCAAATGTACATACGTACTTACAGATACATTTTTATTAAAGTGAGATACTATTATACATAAAGGGTTTTCTAGAAAATTTTAATGTATTAACTTATGTAAACATAAAAATATGTATTATATGTTAACATAACATATTTTCTATACATGAAGTTTTACAGTCCACTTTTTTTTTTTTTAAGATGAGAACTTGAACTCCTGGGCTCAAGCAATCCACCCACTTCGGCCTCCCAAAGTACAGAGTTAACAGGCGTGAGCCACCGTACCTGGCCTATAATCTACTTTTTAAACTAAATAACACATTACATATATCTTTCCAAGCTAATGAACATAGACATTTTTTATAGTAAATATCTTTATGTATTCACCCAGACCACAAATATTCCCTTACCAGTTTTCCCATCCACTGAAATAAGCTCAAGCTCTCATATTTGTATTGTGGGACCCTGTCTTCCTGATCACAGTTTTTTGAATCAAATTTACTCTGGGCAATCAGATTCTCTTTGCTGGGAATTTGGAAATGGGGCTGGTCACTTGAAAAGAAAAGTAAAATCAGGAAAACAGAATCACTTAAGTAATCCTTCAAAATTGGCATTTTTATCTTAAAAAGACTGATGTGAGGTATTGAAGTAGATGTTAAAACTTTAAAATGATGGTTATAAATAAGGGGGGCTGGATGAATGAATGCACAAAGAACAACATCTTAATTCCTGGATTCATATGTTTTCAGTACTAACCTAAACACCATAGAATCACCTAGAGACAACTGTAATTTCTCTTCTATTAACCAAAAAACTATTAGTTTTAAAAGAACATTCACATTAAACATGGAGCAATCTGCTTTGTTACGGCTCCACTATACCTGTGACCTACATTCTTGTGTAGCATGCACTAGACTCATGTTCTCAGCCAGACTATGGTGGTCAATGATCATAGTTAGTCTATCACTGATACATGTTTGTCAGCTTGCTCAACCAAACAAACATCTGTCCCTGTTTGATCTTAACATAAAAGTTCAAAGTTAGACTTATCTCAAATCCGAGTCATAGCTATTAATGATTAAGAGAGATAATGTGACAGGTCCTACCTACAAATAACTATTTGGAAGGCAGAAGTTTGGAGAGGCATTAACTCTTTCAGGTAAAAAAATAATAATATACTGAATCAATCTCTAAATTAATGTAGCAGGGAAAAATAACTCATAAGCCATGAATGAAACTAAAGGATCTCACAATAGCAAAGGGAAGATATTATACTATTTTAATGAAACATCAATTCCATTTAATTCAATATACCAGAAATAATTTATGCTTTAAAGAAAAATGTAATCATGGGTCATATTTTAACACTGAACATTCTAGGGATGGCTAACAGTGCATGCTTTTAAAACAACTGTAATAAAAATATGAAACAGTAATTTATTGAACAGTAATTGTGACTTGAAAGAGTTAAGGTAACTCCCCTGACATCTGCCTTATAATCAGAGAGTTTATTTATCAGAGTACTTTGGCTGAAAAAAAAATTGTAGAAGCTTCTCCAGAATTAAATGTTTAAAGAATGTTATTTGAAGGAGGTAAGATCTTCACTAAAAAGGTAAAGTAGTATATCTGGGAATAAATTTAAGCCTTTATTTCACCACCATCAATTATTGAGGACTTATTAGATAAATGAATTGCTACAAGAGGTACAAAATTTTAACAGAAGAAATTTGCAGAAAAATATTCAATCATGATCACTTGTATTTCAAATGCTGTCTAGTCTCTTAAGATTTTCTCCATCTCGGGCTCATAAACATTAATCATTTACCGAAATATAAATAGGTTAAATGCTTTTTGGTGTATTTACCTTTTTTCCTTTGAAGTTGAGGGTACCAGGCTGCTCCAGAACCCCATAATACAAGCACATAATGTTTGTCTTGGGCTTGTTCCACTGTTAACATAACTTTTTTCTGCTTCTGTCCTCTATAACTGTATACTGCCTCTGGAAAAGGAAAATGAGTATCTTAGATGACATTACTCTATCACATGTGATACCATACTTTAATAGCTGATGATACATATATAGTGATAACCAAATGGTACACTAAGATGGTCTTATATCTTAATTTTTTCATAATCTAAAATTAAGGAAGCAGTCAAAATGTTTACCTGTCAGTACAGTGAAATCAACAACTCTTAGTACTGCGTGGACTAATACATCAGGCTGAAGGTGCTCCAATTCTACAAAGTCTATACTGTTCACCCTCTGAGGCTGCCTTGGAGGAAGATCTCTGAGGTAGGAATGTTTTGAGGACACATATGCCAGTAAGTCTTGAAGTACAACATCACTAACTACACTGGAATCTAAGGGAAAAAAAATACATACAGACAAAATATGGCAACATTATATTTTTCTTGACAAATAATATTTTTTAGAACTGTATTTTATGTTATAAAGTATGATTAGATATAAAATATAGTTTTGTTTTCTCTAAAACATGTACAATAGCTAAGTCTTGAATCAGTTTCGATGTAAAAATAAACTTGATATTTTTAATCAATGGAAATGGAATTATTTACTATCCCCAAGAAACTTGTGCTGTTCCCATACTTCTCTACTTTGTTAATAATATCATTTTTCTATCAATTAACCAAATACAAAATTTCTTTTCTTTTTTGACTCCACCACCCTGTAACAGCCAATCAGTTCCCCAATCCCTGGAGTCTGATTTGATCCCAGGCTCTGCCGTTCTTCCTCAAGCCCCTGGGGACTTCCCTTCTGAAACAGGCTCAGAGCCACCTCACTGATTCTCTCCCTGAGTGTGCCTTACTCTTTCCACAGCGAGGCCTCTTCCTCACCAGTTTCCAGCTGCAAAGTTGTCATCCCCTTCTCGCCCTACCCAATACCACATAGGATGGTGACCACTACAGACTCACAGTGCTGCTTCTTTCCCCGAGCTCAGAGAGCTTTTGAGCATCAGCCACATTGTGATATTTTTCAAGTGTTGGATTGGTTATTTAATTCTTCAGTTATTATATCTTTTAAATGTTTTTCTCTTTCCTAGCTCATATTTTTTTCTCATTTTTTATTAAGGTATAGTTTCTATACATTAAAATGCATATATTTTAACTGTACAGGCTGATGAGTTTTGCTGATTAAATTTCTCTGAAGGTAAAAGAAGTATGCTTGAGTACGTGATTGATTGCTGACCAAAAATAAGATATTGGCAATAAACACTTAAGTACTTTTTAGAAAGCAGAGTCTATAAACTGATTTGTGATTCTTCTTTCCTTCCTTTAGACAGTAAAAGGGATGTAACAGGTGAAACAAAATTGACCATGTTTTAATAAACTGGCTAAGAGGTACTTAAGTTCATTTTGCTTTGTATTCTCTACTTTTGTATATGCTTGAAGGCTTTCATAATAAAAGTTTTTAAAAGTAAATGCAGATGCTCACACACACATAAAATTCAAACTAAAGTTACAAGGAAAAAATTAAAACCACATGGAATACTACCAGACTGAATTTTTCTTTCACAATATTTCCAGCAAATCTGGAATCAGAAGAGCTGTATTCAAATTCTGGTTTTGTCAATAATAAGCTCTGTGAACTTGTACATAACTTCTCTGGGCTTCATTTTTCATGAACAAGATAGAGCTTTTTGGGGAACAAAAAGATCTCTGACATCAAATTATGTATTTGTTCCTGAATCATAAAATTTACATGGAAATACCTGGTTATTTAGATTCCAAAAAAAGTCTACCTCATGGAAACACTGTGTTGATGTTTGACTTATATATTTAACAATATTCAAAATAAATTTATATTCTTGTCACATTATCAGAACTAGGTTTGTAAAACATATAACACCTCACTATAAAGACGAAAGAACAGAAGTCTTTTCAACTTTTACTTTAGATTCGGGTGTACATGTGCAGGTCTGTTTCCTGGGTATACTGTGTGATACTGAACTTTGGGGTACAAATGATCCTGTCACCCAGGTACTGAGCACAGTACCCAACATGTAGTTTTTCAACCCTCGCCCCTCTCTCTACAGTAGTCCCCAGTGTATATTGTTGCCACCTCTATGTCCATGAGTAGCCAATGTTTAGCTCCCACTTATAAGTGAGAATACGTTATTTGGTTTCCTGTTCCTCCCTCAATTCACTTAGGATAATTGCCTCCAACTGCATCTGTGTTGCTGCAAATATATATATATTTTATTTATATATATATATTTTATATATAATATATATTTTTGAGACAAGGTGTCACTCTGTTGCCCAGGCTGGAATGCAGTGGCACAATCTCAGCTCACTGTAAACTCCACCTCCCAGGCTCAGGTGATCCTCCCACTTCAGCCTCCCAAATAGCTGGGACCACAGGTGTGCACCACCACATCTAGCTAATTTTTTTGTATTTTTTGTACAGACAGGGTTTTGCCACATTGCCCAGGCTGGTCTCAAACTCCTGGACTCAAGCAATCTGCCTGCCTCAGCCTGTCAACGTGTGGGAATTACAAGCATGAGCCACCGCGCCAGCCTGATTTCATTTCTTTTTATGGCTGTGTAGAATTCCATGGTGCGTATGTACCACATTTTCTTTATTCAGTCCTCCACTGATGGCCACCTAGATTGATTCCATGACTTTGCTATTGTGAATAGTGCTACAATGAACATTCAAGTGCTTATGTCTTTTTGGTAGAACAATTTGGTTTTTTTTGGATATATATCCAGTAATGGGACTGCTGAGTCAAATCACAGTTCAGTTTTAACTTCTTTGAGAAAACCCCAACCTGTTTTCAACAGTGGCTGAACTAATTTACATTCCTACCAACAGTATATAGGCATTTCCTTTTCTACACAGCCTACCAACATCTGCTGTTTTTTTGACTTTTTAATAATAGTTGTTCTGGGGCTGGGAGTGGTGGCTCACACATATAATTCCAGCACTTTGGGAGGCTAAGACAAGAGGCTCGTTTGAGCTCAGGAATTCAGGGCCAGCTTGGGCAACATGACAAAACCCGGTCTCTACAAAAAATACAAAAATTAGCCGGGCGTGGGGGCATACACCTGTAGTCCCAGCTACTCAGGAGGCTGAGGTAGAAGAATCTCTTGAGCCTAGGAGACTCAGGCTGCAGTGAGCCATGATCAGGCCACTGCACTCTAGCCTGGGTAACAGAGTGAGATCCTATCTCTGAAAAATAAATTTTAAACAAGTATTATTAGGTCCCACTTTTCAATTTTTGGTTTTGTTGCAATTGCTCGAGGGCTTCATCATAATTCTTTCCCAGAAGTCTTTTCCAAAAACACAATATATTGATCACAAATAAGAATGCTCTCATTAGTTGTAACCACTTGCAAAATCAAAACCAAATTGGTGAAATCAGTAACCAAATTGGTTTACTCTTTCAGAAGAAAACCAACTGCAATATTCTCAAAATGTCCACTGGTAGATGTTTCCCTACATCAATACAAAACTTTAGAATATACTTTATTTAGCTACTAACCTGTAACAAATAAAGCACCATAAATTCCTGTGTATGTGTAAAAACAAAGATTTTGAAGTAACTTCTAAAGATTATCTAATTAGTTCAAGATTTTTCACATCATTCTACAAAAACCTGAAACTCTCTAGGGATTCATAGAATATTCTCCATCCAGAATTTCATCATAAGAGTTTTATGAAATTACTGAACTATTACTTGAATCTAGATCATCCTTAAAACCAGAGATATCTACATTTCCCAAATCTCTTGCAAAACATTTGCATACCATGTTATTTTCATTATTTCAAAACATTCCTTCCCCTTTTATTGTATCAACATACATAAGATATGCTGAATTTTACTTAGAGGCCATTTAGCTATCATACACACACACACACACACACACACACACACACACACACACGCTTTCCAAGATGTAACACCTTCGAATATTCATAATAAAAGAAATCTCAAAATTAAAAAGTTACCTGACTTCAACCAGGCAAAACCACACCATCTTAGTTACTATAGGTTCATACTAAGTCCTGATAGATGATAGGGCAAATTATTCTTCCCTGCTTTTCTTCTTAAAATGCCCTGGTTGTTTCTGACCACTTATTCTTCTACATAAATATCATATAATCTTAAAAAATTACATGAAAAGCTTATTGGTCTTGAACTCTTTGCCTCAAGAGATCCTCCTGCCTTGGCCTCCCAAAGTGCTGGCATTACAGGCATGAGCCACTGCGTCCTTGAAATCTTACGAGGATTTTTATTGAACATGCACTGAATTTACAAATCAACTTGAAAAGAACTGAAATCTTCACAATGTTAAATCTTCCAATCAATGAATAAGGTATACGTTTATTTCATTCTTCGTTAGTTTTTATTCATTTTAATTTTTTTCCTTTTTTAGATCTTGCACATACTTTGTTACATTTATTACTATTAGTATAAAATAACACTATTGTCAATGGCACCTTTGTTTGTTATTGTTAGTTGCTCTACTCTAGAAATGTGATTGACTTTTGCATGTTAATCTTACATCCAGCAACTTTGCGAAACTTTCCCATTATTTCTAATAACTTGTTTGTAGTTTTTAGAGTGAAAAGGTATGTAAACCATCTATAATAAAGGCAGTTTTATTTCTACCTTTCCAATCTTTACATATCTATTTTTCCACGTTTTATTGCACTGGTTAATAATTCTCATATGGTGTTGAAGAAAAACAGTAATAGTAGTATCCAAGTTATATTCCTGAATTTTAAAAGGAATGCTTCTATTATTTTTCCAATTAGGATGACAATTGTTCTGGGTTTTCTAAAGGCACTCTTTATGAAGTTAAGGAAAATTTTATTCTATTCCTAATGAACAGGTGTTGACTTTTATCAAAAGCTTTCTTTGTACTTATTGAGATGATCATATACAGCTCTTTTAAAAACTCTGTTTTGAACTAATGTAAGACTCACAAAAAAGCTGCAAAAATAGTACGGAGTGCCCTTATATTCCTCACTATGTCGACTAATGTGGGCATCTCACATATTATAAATTACCTTAAACAGGAAACTAACATTAATTAAATATTGTTAATTAAAATATAGATGTTATTTATATTTTACCAATTCTCCTATTCATATCCTTTTTCTATGTAGGATTTCATCCAAGATCCCACCTCACATTTAGTTGTTATTTCTCTTTGGTCTTCTCTAATCTACAAGAGTTTCTCAATCTTTTCTTTTTCATTACCTTGACACTCATGAAGAATCCTGATCAATTATTTAGTAGAACATCCTTCCCTTTGGGTTTCTCCAGGGTTTTACAATTGGAATGAAGTTATGCATTTTTGGCAATTCCACAAAAAATATGGTGGGTCCT